ATGTGGTCGCGACGCTTCTGCGTCACTTCAAATCGATAAGACATCTGAGACAAAGTTGTAGAAAAAAATAATTGCTTTCAGGAAACATACACACGGTGCAAAATTCCAAAATATCCAAAAAAGTGTTTAAAACTTAAATAACCAAAAATAAGCCTCTTCAATATGTTTTGAATATTTTGCATTAGAACACTTATGAAAAACGCAATCTTTTGTGAACTTGTTAAGTGGGAAAGTTTAAAAATTTGTCCAAAAGTAGTTATTTTATGATTTTTAATTAATTCCTAGGTGTCTAACTTGAACATTTTACGGAAGATACGCTTACGAATAAAAAAATATGTTCAAAAATATTGAAGATGGTTAACTTTTAAACACTTTTTTTAAATTATACATCATTTTGAAGTATTTTGCGAGATTCAAATGGCCGATTTTTTGCTCAAATGTGAATGACATATAACATACAATGCAAATACAAGAGGTCGAGTCTTGATTTTATCTTTTATTTTACCTGGAAATACTCATAGGTAAATGATTGTTGAGCTGTTTCAAAATTGTAAATGTAAAAACATAAAAGTAGCGGTAATTTATTTATTTATTTATTTATTCCTTCGTCTTCGATATACTCGTTCAGACTGCAACTTAATCTAAATTTCTAATTCTAGTACTAAACACATTTTTGCTAATGTTAAAGTCAAACTGATCATAAACAGTGTTGAAAGCACGTATACAGGTACTCAGAGGGTTGTTATGTCCATAGCTTGTTCTGTGATGAGGTACGTAAAGCGCAGCGTGAGTTCGAAGTGAACGAGATGGAGCGTAGAAGTTGACAAGCTGACGCAGCGCAGGGCAGTCGATGCGATCCGTAAGAATGTCGAAGATGAAGATACGCTGCAATTTCAGGCGTCTGGCAGACAGCGTTTCCAAGTCAAGTATAAGCAGCGTGAGGTATATGGAGGCAGGTGTGTTTCATTGTTCCATGGTAGGTGGCGGAGAGCAAACCGAACGAAGTATTTCTGAACTCGTTCTAATTTGCTGGCTAGTGTAGATTGATACGGTGTCCAAACAGGTGCGGCGTATTCAAGTATGCTTCGTACCAATGAGCAAAATAACGCCTTCAAAGCATAAGCGTCGGTGATGAAGGCTGCATGGCGTCGAATGTATCCTAGGACAGCAAAGGCCTTTGCAGCTGTTGTAGAGATTTGTTCGTTGAATCTCAGTTTGCTGTCCAATATAACACCTAAGTCACGAATAGAATCTACACGTTCCAGGGCAGAGGGCCCGATCTTATAGCTGTATTTCAACACAGTGCGGCAACGTGTGAATGAAATCGCTTTACATTTTTTTATGTTAACGTTCATCCCGTTCTCTTCGCACCATTTCAACAATTCGTCAATGTCGTTTTGTATGGCAGCACAGTCCGAGACCGATGCAATTACCCTGAATAGTTTAAAATCGTCTGCGAAGAAAGATTTGCCAGACGATAAGCGGAGACCGAGGTCATTGATGTACAGAATGAAAATAAGTGGTCCTAGCACACTTCCTTGAGGTACTCCAGAGGTTACGTCGAAAACTGATGACTCTTCAGTCTCGATTTGAACAAAAGCTTTGCGATTTGTTAGATAAGATTTGAGCCACTCAATGATCCAAATCGGGAAGCCCATGTGCAGAAGTTTCTCAGTGATATGGATGTGTGGTACGGTGTCAAACGCTTTAGAGAAGTCCACGTAGACTGAGTCAACCTGGCTACGAGCCTCGACTTCGTGGAACAGAGTGTTTGTGTAGCACATCAAATTGGTCGTTGTTGATCGCCGTTCCACGAAACCATGCTGGAACTCGCATATTAACGGTCTAGATGCATTGTACAAAAACTGGTGCACCAGTTTCTCGAAAACCTTACCGAGGCAGCAAAGTATCGAAATGCCTCTGTAATTTTCTACTCGATTTAGATTGCCAGTTTTGTGGATTGGCACCATTTTAGCAGTTTTCCACATGGTTGGAAATTCGCCTTTTGACACCTTAAATATCAAGGTTACGGGCGTCACTAGTTTTAATGCACAAGCTTTGATAATGGAAGGAGGCAATCCGTCTACACCTGCTCCCTTCGAAACATCCAGGTCGTTCAATAATTTCAGTACCTCCTCTGGAGAGATACATACAGTAGGCAGGTTCACGTCGTACGATGGCACTCGCTGGAAACTTCCGGGAAGAGGAATCGGTGGAGAAGTACTGAACACACTTTTGAGAAAGTCAGCGAATAGAGTTGCAGATTCACTAGGTGTTGCAGCTGTCACTCCTTCATATTCGACATTGCAGGGAATGCGTTTGTTTGCTTTGCTGTCCCTGACGAACTTCCAGAACGATGCGGGGTTCTGCTTCAAGTTTGACTGGAGATTGTTGACGTATGCTTCATAGGTCGATGCAAGGAGTTCGTTGTAGCTGCTTTCGATGTTACGGAGGTTGTTCTTGTTCTCGTCTGATCTCACACTGAAAAAACGATTACGAGCCTTACGAAGCCTGTTGCGTTGTTGACGTAATTCCCCTGTCCACCAGGGTTTTCTGTTTACCGCGTTGGAAGTGCAGTGACGGCGAGGAACAACCTTGTCAAAGATCCTGTGCAGTTTATCATAGAAAACGGACACAGTTTCGTCTATCGAGGGTCGATTCAACAGTGAGAGCCAATCAACAGCCGAAAGTTCGTTATTCACTAGGTTTACGTCACATCTTCTGAAGTCTAGATAGGTTACACCCATTTGAGCGCTGGCGTGATTCCTCGTAGTGTAATGAGTATCGAGTCGTAGGAGAAATGGCTTGTGATGGGGGTCAATTTTCAGGAGCGGAACTGGAGGGTCAATTAGCTCAATATAGTCCGGAGCGTTAGCGAATGCAAGATCGAGAGTCCTGCCATTGACGTTCACTAAAGAGTTGATCTGAACCAAACCCCATGCAAATATCGGCTCGGTAAGCGCAAGTTCTTGTTCTGTTGAGGCGTTTGATGGTAAATGACCATTGATATCGCCATCGAAGCGCCAGCAGAGTCCGGGAAGATTATAGTCGCCTAACGCTAGAACAACGTCATCGTCTTGAAGTTTATCGCAAACCTTTCGGATTGCGTCGGCGTGAGCAGAGTACATTTCAGGACTGGAATTTGGTCGAAGGTATATTCCAAAGACGTATACCGAACGGTTTATAATGGCTCTAATGTTGGCCTATGGATCTAAGATTGGGCCCTTCGCTAAAAATATGCTATTTATCAATTTTATCTTGATGAACGCGTCATTGGGACGGTACTAATTTATTTTTGGTCGCTATTGAAAATTTAGTCGGTTGCTGAATTTATGTATGGGCCCGAATTAGGGGCATTTAGGCGGGTGTAAGGTCATTTTTGGTATTTCGACGTTTTAGGTTAGATGTATCGGCATTTTCAAGATTGTGTTGAGGGTTTTTATGACGTCTTTAAAAGTCTTTTCGGAGTTTTGAAGCCTTTTTGAGACTTTTTAAGCTCATTTTGGAATCACAGTTGGTCCCGAGTTGTTTTTTGCGTGACTATTTTGGCATTTTTAACCCGTTCCAAAGGCATTCTTGTTTGGAATTCGGGCAATCTTTTTATGGAGTTTTAAAGCCCTTTCGCAATCGACTAAAGTTTGAGAATCACTGGCTTTAGAAAACATTGAGATTAATTATATATAGATCGCAAATTGACGCAAGAACTCATTTCGGGTAGTGAATCGAAATTTATTTGGCCCAACCCCTACTAGACATAGAATTAAGTGAATATTGTTACAAACAATGAACAATGGATCATCGGCTCCGTAAAGCTAACTCTATTGAGCCTTTCAAATAAACGAACTAGATACTATTAGATAGGTTCAATCGCGTTAGCTTCCCTTTGGCTGCAAGATTGCATGAGCTCAATGGAACAAGATGGTCAGTAGAGAAGTTGTACCAATCACGACTATACGTTCCTATTATGGTGAGTTCCATTTATGGCCTATTGGAATAACTGGAACACACCATGTTACGAACGTATAACCAACCGGTGTAAACTAACGATTTAAAATTGGCTCACAACTTGACTAGCCTATTGGTCCCAAGTACATCTTATAAGCGTACCCCATTCCAGTCGGAATTCTAGTACTACACAATGTTTGTTTTGATTAGCTATGAAAGTTTGACATATATAATAAGGGGTTCGTGGATTTTCCTATGTTTCGAGGGGTGAATCGATTAGCTTGGGACCGAAGAGAGTACCAGAGCTGAGCCAAAAAGTTGAGCACGTTTCTTCGGGACCTTCTGGTCTTAGAGTTACCTCTATGGTATAACCAACAATCAATACGAAACTAACGATTTTAAATTGGCTCACCACTTTAGTAGCCTATTGGTCCCAAGCAAACGATTAACGTACCCTATTCTAGTTGAAATTCTATTACTACATTATGTTTGTTTTGATTCGCTATGAAAGTTTGACAGATAACATCAGGGGTGTGTGGATTCATGCAGAACATGCAGGGGTGAGTGAAATAGCTTGGGACTGCTTGGGACCGTTGTTCTGGTACTGAGTGAGCCAAAAATAATAATGATTTTCTTCGCGACCCAGTGGTCTTAGAGTTACCTCTATGGTATAACCCTGATTAGTACATCTACTCTAGTACATTTTCTAAATAATTTCACGGCACTTAAATTTCGTCACACAAATTCTCTCTCCTAACAATTAATACACTCAAATCTGATTTTGTGCGACTTTTTTTGTCGTAATATGATCGTGTGATCTTAAATTGCAACCAGATTTAATGCGACTGGTTTAAAAATAATCATAGAAAAATATGGTGGTATCGAAATTTATGAACTTATTTTAAATGAGGAAAAACAACACCACGTAAAAACAGAATTGAATGTGTTTATAACCCTTACTGCCCCCTTGCTTGATCAAGAAGAAACCTTGTTTACTAAAAAAACACTGCAATGTTTAAGCCACATCACTAACTTTAGATTCGTCAATTCCACAGGTAACTTCACCATCGTTCAACGTCCTTCGATCTGGTCCATTGATCTGAAGACCAATATGCCACTCAGTCGCTATGAAATTCCCCAGAAGGATGTGGACACTGGCTACGGTCTTACCTCGATCACTCTCGATATCGATCCAGATGATTGCGAGAAGGTGTTTGTCTACGTTTCCGATTTGCAAACCTATCGCATGGTGGTATACGATCACCAAAACCAGAAATCTTGGCGTTTCCTGCACAACTACTTCTTCCTGAATCCACTGGAGGGCGACTACAACATTCAGGGAATTCCATTTTCGTGGGATGATGGTATTTTCTCGATTGCCCTGAGCAACCCAGATCCGATAACCAAATTCCGTACCGCTTACTTCCACGCTCTGTCCAGTAACTCCGAGTTTACCGTGTCGACTGCCGTGCTGCGTAACGAAACTGCTTCGAAGCGACACTATCACGGCAAAGATTTCGATCTTCTCGGATATCGTGGCGCTCAATCGCAGTCTAGCATTCACGGTTTCCATCCTGAAACTGGTGTGATCTTCTTCGCTCTCATCCAACTGAACGCTATCAGCTGTTGGGACACCAGTAAACCTTTTGCCCCGCAAAATATGGCCATCGTCTACAAGAACGACAATGACATTGTCTATCCAAACGATCTTTCGGTGAGTTGTTCTCGTAAAAGCCTTAAGTCGTAAAAAGTAAATAATCGTTAAACATTTCTCATCAACAGATCGACAACGATGGATATGTGTGGTTCATGTCGAACTCGATCATCAAGCTGTTGTACACGCAGTTGAGCTTGGAAGAGTTCAATTTCCACATTTGGCGTGCAAACATTAAGGAAATCATTAAGGGTACGGTGTGCGACCCATCTGTTCCGGCCAATATCGATCACGTTCAACGTTTTGGCGAAGAAAGCAACGGCGATCGTGTGACGTTCGTGGAGTACAAGGACAAGTATGGCCCAGGTGGTGGCCCGTTCGGTGGATGGGGATCTGAGGACAAGAGAAAACCGGGACGCAGACCATAAAGAAGTTTGGCACCTAACCTTTTGATTGAATAAATGAGATTTTCATACTTTTTAAGGTAGATGATACTGTGGATTAATGCTCTGCGATAAACAATAAATAAATAAATAAATTGATTGTTTTTGTTTGTTGCTGTTTACAGGAAATGACAAGGCTATCGTACTTAACAGAGAATTCAATTAATCAATCACCCTAATTACATTTATCAGGCGATAGCCCAATTAAGTATTGTATCTATCAAACTATGCGTATCCCTTCGAAAAAGAGTTCATACTAGCACCAAGAGACACTACAGATAGGAGGCCTTGGTCACCTGAACGAACCAAAATGATCAGAATTTCTAAAAATAGCTCACAGATTGAATAGAAGGTTCCAACGCGCAGTAACACCACGAAGTGACAAAATTTTGAACTTATTTGTTCAGCATCCGGAAGTTCTCAGTCACCCGAACAAGTTTGTTTACCTTACGGACTTCGGATAATCAATGACGATCTCGTTTAACGATTGAGGATAGACTCTTGGTTTATTGTGCAGGTTCTGTACAGGAAGGTTTTTGTTTATCTTTAAGAATCTATAGGGGAAGGATGGGAAAGAATGTAAATGTAAACCTGAAGCGAGCGAAGCGACGCGGTGGGTTTGTTGCCTAAACATTTGTCGTGCATATGAGTGAAGCTCATTGAGTGCATATATAGTGGCATTAAAGAAGGTTACTAAATAAAAAAGTAAGAGGTTGCATCCAAGACACGCTCGTAGAATTGACGTAGGACCACGAAAGGTAGTTTTGATGTCACAGCAAAAGTATAGTAAATATTAAATTTATTTCAGTGAAAAAGTTCGATAGGTTGAAACCCAGATCTCCATCCAGATTTTCTTTCACTTATTTAAAATAATCACAGGACAAAAATTGTCCAATGTACATTTTGAAATGATGAGTACGTGATTGTTACTTCGGACATTTGAACTGCCTAACATGATTGGTGATCATTTTCTAAAGGCGGGCATGGTTAGGTTAGGTACTCTATTCTGAAATCTGTGAAATGGAATCTAGTATCATGTAGAACAAAACGTCCAATAAAACACTCATTGATTATGTCATTGAGAAAAATTGTCCAATGTAACATGTCCGATGTTACATTCGGCAAGATTTTTTTTTACATAATACTATTAATATTAGAGGCTTAAAATTTGCATCCAAAGGCATAAAGATAGGTACCGTCTGACATGCTCAGTGCTCGGTATCAATATTCGGCGACTGTGTTCGGGAAACCACTTTTCCCATCACGGAAACGCCTCGTTTTCTGATGACAAAATTACGAATTTTCGTGCACAAAACACACGGAATTTTTGGCTTATTCAATAGATACAAAAAGAAAATTGATTGGAGGAATTTCTTGCTAAAATTTTTCCAATCGCGAGATATTCACGATCAATCATATAAATTCGAGATTTTTTTTTTGCTTTCTTCTAGCATCCTGGAGAAAACCTTATGAAGTGTTTCTGGTGAATTGACATGGTCAAGTGGTATTCGGTCAATGCGAGAATTTTTATGTACCACTTCAATACTTGACGCATTTGGCCACAAACGTTTTGTTGCTGGGTACATTATCAAAGAGCTTTGGCGGTGATGTGGCTGGCAGCAAGGCGAGCGAACGTTCAATGAAAATTAACTCATAAAAAAACTTTTAAGGTGGTCCTGAAAAGGACCGTTCTGTCGTGATGGTTGATTAATGCTGAGCTATTAGGGTGTTCAACACGGATGAGGCTGGCGAGCTGTATGTTGTTTGGAACGAGGGTGACATGCTTGGCATAGATGGCCCACAGCGGCTCACAACGACCAACTGAATCCTATAAGCGGTAGAGGCCAGCCTTGATAGCTAGCTGCTTGCGGAGAGCCTTTCGTTGTGTACTGGAGAACATCATCACTTTTCTTCTTCTTCTTCCTCGCATTTCAAGCTTATTGCTTATGGCATATTAGCTTATTGCGTGCTCTCAACTTAGTGTTCTAGATGCACTTCCACAGTTATTAATTGAGAGCTTTCGATGCCTGTACCATTTTTGCATTAGTATAATTGTGTGGCAGGTACAATCATATTCTATGCCCAGGGAAGTCGAGAAATTTTCCAACCCGAAAAATTCCTAGACCGGACCGGGAATCGAACCCAGCCACCTCCAGCATGGTCTTGCTTTGTAGCTGCACCTTTATCGACTGAGCTAAGGGAACATCACCACTCACCACACGCGGTGATTTAATAAACGCCGTTTAGTGAGACCGGATGGAATTCAATTTTGAAATCTGTGTTAGGGAAAGCGCTTTTCGCAGGTAATCGGTGATAATTTTAATTATGATAGCAACAGTTGCACACTCGAGCAATTTTTAATAGTGACATTTTGAAAAATGGTAAGTTATTAATTTTTTAAATCCATCATCTCTGGATTAAAATCAGATCACTTTCATAACATAACCGACTTTGGTTTCTGAAATTGCACCGCCAATGTTGCCCTAAAAATACGTTATATGTTAGATTTGAACATATGGGAACTGACATCCGATTGATGACCTTGCCAAATGTCCAGAAAATACTCTTTAACAAATTCATGGTAGTCCTTAAAAGGACCGTTTTGTCGTGATGGTTGAGTTATTGTGTAATAGCTGTAATAGTAATAGGGTGTTCAACACAGATGAGGCTGGTGAGCTGTATGTTGTTGAAATAAGGGTGACGCGCTTGGGATAGATGGCCCACAGCGACTCACGAAGAGCTACTGATTCCGGTGCGGCTTCTTCCTCCTTCTTCGGTGAATGGACGCTCATGTGGGCTGCAGCTCGCTGCTTGTGGAGAACAATGTTTAACACCAAACACCCAACAGGGGCAGTAAAGTGTGGAAACCCAACGTTGAGTATAATCATATTTACCTACTTTTGGGTACAACTAACTTACTTTTGGGTAGAAAGCGAGTGGAAAATTCCATTTGAATTGCACACAACTAAAAGAAAACTACTTTGACCCGCTTTATCTAGTGAAAAGAACTTATTTTTGGGTAGTTTTTTCTAACCGTGTCTATTACAATACAGACATCCCCCGAATTGCACGGTACGTAGTGCAGTTCGTTCAGAAAGAAAATCATGAAATAACAATAATATATAATAGGTACATTATATTGTTGACAATATATATATTATTATATTATATATATTATTAGTATATTATTGAATCGTGATGAATGTGGGTCATTCAATTCCACTACCTTATTTGCTTATCCTTGACAGATAAGCGTATTTAGTCTACAATGTGCAGACATCTTCTGTGTCCTCTACTAATACTCGAATGAAGAAACCATCACAACTTACCGAATATATATCAACCTAGGTACATTTTCACTTAGAAGCTAGGTAAACTAAAATATAATCTCCTGATGATGATGATAATAATGATGATGGACCCACCTCTTACCCCTACAAAGGGTTAAGTTGGACGATTCAAATATTCACAAGAATTCCCAGCTATCAAAGAATACATTTAAATAATCAACTAATCATTCCAATACACTAGCAATCCCATAATCAGATGCTATCGTAATTTTCAGCAGCGTCAGAAATGCTCACGGACCCCCGACATTCAGCCAGAAAACTTACTACTAATTCAAAGCATCAGGCAAGGTTGCAAAGACTCATTTCAGCTAAAATAATGTTTTTCGGAATAATAAAACCAAAAGATGGTATGATGGCATGTTTTACTTGTAACTTACAAGAAGAGGTTACAAAGTATGCGTTGGAAACATAAAACCTGTAAATTTTGCTTTCTATGAGTCACAATCAGCGATTTGCTGATCGCTGAGTGCGTGAGTGAGTGAGTGAGTGAGTTTGTGAAAAATCGCTGACTGTGACTCTCATGAAGTGAAATAAACAGGTTTAATATGTCAAACACATTCTTTGCAACCTCTTCTTGTATCCTACCAATTCAAAATTTGATCATGGCATCTAATTATTTCATAATTTAGAAAAACATTGTTTTAGCTGAAATGAGTCTTTGCAACCTTGGCATCAGGATTACAGGGTGAAAACTTCGTCTCGATACGTTCAGTATTTAAAAAAGTTGTACTATGGTCTGTATCTACATTAATCCGGACACCTTCAAATCACTGTTACTTTTGAAATATTGTACGTAGAAATAACAAATTTCGCTGAGGCATTGCTGGGAGTCATTGATGAAAAAGACTATCATTTGTGTTTACAATCACAAATCCTGACTTGTAAATACGGGAACTAACAAAAAAAAATGGATTTAACTAAATCCACACTCAAAATAAAATTTCGTTCATACAACGAAATCGCTCGTTGTACGAATTTATTCGTTGTTTTCCCAACCCAACCCAACCAGTGGGCCAGAAGTGGTGGTTCTGGAGACCAAATAATGTGGAGTGTGTTAGTGAGGATGGATAAAAATAAAATCATCATTGGAAGGAATAAACATAATAAAGAAATTAAAAAAAGGCATCAGACCGGACTCGAAAATCAAGAACCTTGCGATAGTCTGTACGGCACATAAAACCACAGCAACCAGTAATTTGATTTATTGTGGTAGCTTGGTTAGACCGACAATATTTTAAGAAAAAAAGTGTCCCATCTTCACCACACAATCAGCACTTTAGGCTGTGAACCATTAGCCGAGTTAAATTTAACTCGTGGTTAAAAGTGACATTTCGAAAGTTATTCTGTATGTTCGAAAATCCCTGTGCTGTCGACCGACCGGTTTTCGAGAAGAACTCAGCCACGGTTGTCAAAATTTAACTTCTTGTCTGTCAGAAATAACCACGCTCGGATAGTAGGGTTAATCGATAACCTTCCATCTGTCAACTTTTAACCAAAAGTTAAAAAAAAGTCCACCAAATGGTTCAGAGCCTTAGGAGACAAAAAGAGCAGTTCGACAGTGAGCATTCATAAGGGCGTATACGCGATGATCGATTCTCTTCATCGATTTTCTCTTTTCTTAATAACTCGCTAGATTTAACGTTTGTCGGTGC